GGCAGGCTTTCTATTCATTAATACAAGCCTGCCGTGATTGACTCAGCACTGAGCCAATCACGGCAGGCTTTCTATTCATTAATACAGGCTTTGAATACTTAATTGCCGGCTGCCGCAGCTCTGCGTGTTCCTCAGCGGCAGCCGAAAATGGTAAAATAGTCCGCTATCGCTGCGTCCCTTTGGTAATGCGGACCTGGGCTTGCGTGCCAGCAGAGGGGGCCCCACGTGCCCACTCTGGCACGCGTGCCATAGGTTCGCCACCGCTGGCCTAGGGGGCTAACAAGCCCCCTATATAATAGCAAATATAATGTGACAGGTCCTCTTTATGATAATTGCAGAAACTTCACCAGCACACCAAATCCTTATAGGATCAAAATTCGTAGATTTATTGCAAACTCATTACAGTTGCACAAGTGCTTTCGAGGCCACACAGGGTCCCTTAATCAGACTTAGCAATGCCAGGTTTAAAGATGGCCGCCGCTACTTGCGGCAGCCATATTTAAAAATGTAATGTGCAGTGGAGAGTCTGGAGACAGGGGGAAACCCTGTAGGCCCGCACAGAGCACCGCAGGTGAGGAACTGGAATGTGCATGCCCCCGCAGCCCCCGTTACGCCAAAACAAGTGACAAACCCCTGATGACGTCACATGTTTTGACGTAACGTACGTAGGGCAGAGCTTCTGATGTCGCTGCACTGAGCTGAGCCGGACGAACAGATTTTTTTATCGCTTTGCTGCCACTTGCCCTGCTGGTCTGATCCAGCAATACCCAATGCCTGTACTGTTTACACCATTGTGAGTACGCATTTTGTATTTAATAAATTGCATTTTATTGGACATTACGCACTATGTCCTTGTCCTTTTTCTCTTTCCTCCTGGATTTATGCTGGTACATGTGATCTGAGGAGACCTTATCGCTTTTTCTGCGCATGGGCTTCCCTCCCCCATTAAGAAGGGAAAAAGCGCATTTGACCTAGCTCTGTGGGTCTACCTCCCCACGTGAGCACTCACTTGTTATCACTCACTGGAGGTGAAGGTCTGCCTGCATTGTGTGATTATCCTTATCTGAGAGTTGCATGCAGATTGGCTGTGAATCATCTGAGGAATTTTCTTGCACAATCACCATTGTTTGCTTTTGTTTTTTCCTGGGACTCTTTTTGTCTTTATTGCTTTTTTTGTTTGTGTGTGTAGATATATTTTTATGCCTCATTTGTTTGAAGGCTCATATATGCGATTCATTTATACATGTTTCAATGTATTAGGTGTGTATGATTATTAGCTCGGCACAATATTGTTTTTCACAGTTAAACAAACTTGTATTTCATTTACTTACAAATAGAGTGTATCCACTTCCTGGTACAGTTCTGGCACAAATGATGTATGTGCCAAAGTGTTGCATCTTGGGAAGGTCACATCATCAGAGCATTGCTGAGAAATCTCATCTGCAATCTCATGAGATCTCAGGGAAAGGCATTTTCCTCCCCTAAGATGATGATGTGCATGGTCGTATGTCCTAGTCAGATGTGCCAGTGTTTCAGGAAGTAAAGGGAGATCTAGTAATATGCCCTTAGTAAACATGGCCACTGTCAGAAGACTGGGAAAGAAAAGAGAAATATGGTCTCGCTGGGAGTGAAGGGCCTAATTTGCATCTTATTTCAAGTTATGCCAGTTTTTTCAAATGATACGCTGTATTGCGTTATGGTTGTTGTTAGAGGTGGTGATAAATCTCAGCTTCAGAATTGGGATGTGTAGTTTCTTTGGGCGAGTGTAGATTCAGATAAGTGGAATAGGCACCATGGATGAGTATGTAAGGGTATGATTTTTCTTTTCCAAGGGCAGCTTGGAGGACACAGCTCCACTGAAATCATTAGGTCTGCTCTGCAAAGCTCAGCAGTCTGGGCCTTTTTTCATACATGTGCTGCAGACAAAACTGGTAGTGGTTTGCAGCCTGTGCCTGCACCATTTTAAGTGTAACAAATCAACCACTCATTTTAGTACCATATGTATGAGGAGACAAAAGGCTGTTCAGCACAAAGCTTATGGAAACAGAACACATGAACGCTACCAGTCAGAAGCAAAAAGCCCACAATCCTTCTTCTTCTCGGCCCTCTTTCAAGATGCTCCACCAGTCCATAGTTATTTCCATCAGCAGCCGCTGCAGCACCTTCTGCCTTAAGTGATAGGGATGGGAGTCTGACAAGGGGTTTGAGAGAATTAGCTTATGGCTCATCAAGAGGGTCAGCATGCAGCCAAACTTAGTAAGACCAAGCATAGGCTTCAACCTAACTGAAAGGTGTCAAACCCCACCCTTCCATCTCCAGCTACATCATTGAACAGGCTGGTGTCTCTTCCCTAGCTGCCACAAGCCTCAAGCCACCCACATTCACAGCGTCTTAATGCCAGCTTGGCAAATTTTCTGGCTTCATAGCTGTTCCCTTTCCAGCTAGTAGAGTCTGCCCCCTTCCAAGAATTTGCAGCCTGTCTCAGGCAGGCTTTAGCCATTTTTTTCTTGATGTCCATCTCTGCCCTCCACTAGCATATGGAAGGAAATATCTCCTTGTCGTTGGATCATTTGGTTAGTAGCAGACCTGACCTCAGACACGTGGTACAGTAAGCATTAGCAACAATGTCACATTCTCATTCATTCACTTGGTGAACTTGCTGGGAGCTGGGAAGGATATAGGATGGGGCATGCTACCTAGTGTAGTGCAACTTGGTGATGATGACAGCTCCGCAACTGCTACCCCCTCCTCCTTATTGGTCACATCAGAGACACCAGTCCCTAGACTACCGGGAAAAAAAACAGCAGTTTTTTTCCAAGTTAAAATTAATCAGATAGTGATGCTACTGCTTTACGTAAGCCAAGTATTAATCTGATATTTCAAAAAATGTATTACAAATACAAATTATGTAAATTATGTGATGCCACAGTGCTGACACAGGAAACAGTGTCACCGGCACTGTCCCCAAGAATAGTTATGTTCTATAACACCACATATAGCTCAAAGCCATATTTGTAACATCTAGTTTTGAGGAATTGGTGTTTTTTTCATGTCGCCTTTAAAGTTGCAAAAAATGGGGGGCATCTCCCTGCTAAATGGTATTTTTTTTTGCAATGGTACATGTCCCCCATGCCCTTTTTTGGTCAATCCCTCAACTTAGAAATGGAGATAATTAAATTCCAAGATTTACCTCCTATTGACTTCAAAGGGGTTCACATTAAAGTTTACAAATGGCAAACTATTTGGCGTATATGCTTAACGCACCCACAAACCAAACCTGAGTAAGTCCACCCATCACTAATAGTTACCATCACACCATATGAACTGGGGGTGTGACTTACTCAATATTGTTGCAATGAGTTGGGTCCTCTCTTATTTCATTGCCTATTATTAGGTGGTATATTAATTTCCTGACATATGAGCTATGTCAAGGTATGTCCCCTTGCAATAAGTATCTGGTTTACTTGCTACAATAATTATTTCATATGCTTTAGATGTATGATCTATTGTATACTGCTGCAGGTGTAGAGAATATGAGCTCATCCAGATCAGGTGTCCATTTGAATGCCTGTGCTTGCTTGTTTATTCATGGCTGTTTTTTTGAGTGGTGTGTGCATTTTTTTTGCAAGTGTGTTCCTCCATATTGTCTTTCTATCATTACTATTTTCTATTTATTCTATAATAGGATTGTGTGTTTAATATTGTGGTGCAAACCGTGTATAACAGGATGAAAAGTGTTTTTCTACTTAAAACATATGTGGCAAGTTACATCACCCGGCATACCCGAAGGGTTGTTTAAAATGAGAAACAACTCAGCGAGTGGCAAGCTGTTGTTTAATGGCGATAGTAATACTAACACTAAATAAATTACTTTGGATGTAGCATGTGATGTATTTAGCTTTGTTTACCCTATTTACCCACAGTTCTAATAAACTTAATAAATATGAGTATATTTTTTATCACTTTTAGACTCCTCATGTGGACCACCACAAAAAATTTCAAATGGAGAAATTAGAGGACAAGAAAAGACCACATACCTAACAGGAGAAGAAGTAATTTATGATTGTGTTCGCGGCTTTACAGTGGGTAATAATGCAAATTTTATCACCTGTGAGAACGCTGCTTGGACAGAACCACCAGAATGCAGAAGTAGGTGCTTTTTGTTTGCAGTAAATATAGTATTACTGTATGACTTTATAATTATTGACTTCTGCCTTGGACAACATAAGCTATCTAATATATATTGGTATTTCACTGATCGATAAAACCTACTGATGTTTTACAAAATCTAAGCTTTGTAATAAGTTTTAAAAGAAATCTTGTAGTTTCATAATAAATGAGCATGAGGATCGATTTTTTTCTTCTTCACAGCTTACATAGTTTTTACCACTGAATGCACTGCACATTGACCAACCCCTGGATGGTACCATCTTCTTCCTTTTAATAATCACTTAATCTCTACATGCACCCGACCTCTTGTTCTCCCTTTTTGTTAAATATATAACACGTGGAATTGTACATAAAGCCATCAAATCCATGTTTTCAATTTGGATTATGTAAGTTTGTGAATGACTTCATGACAGCAGTATTTTGCATTTTATTTCTACCTTTTAAACTGGATAAAAATAAGGGGGCCACGGGTGGCGCATGCATGCAGCGGACAAAGATGGCAGGCTTCAAACTCCGCTCCGCTTCTCCTTGGCACTTTTGGGAAGCTAGTGTATCATCTCTTACTCATACTCCCACTGCTTTTAGGCCATACTTCATTTCTTGCTCATCCTCATCATGTGACCTCCGGGGTGGAAACATAAGACCCAGCAAGGCAAATCGATTAAAGAGGTCAAGATAGCACCAATATCCTCAGAGCTGCCTGAGCTGGACTCCACAGCTCCAGGAAGAAGCTGATGCTGAGAGCTCCCCCTCGTCTTCCTGTGAAATTTCCCAGAGGGATCTGCTCCATCGCATCAACCGTATGCTCCACAAGGCCATGTAAACAACCTCTAAACAGATCACTGGTCACCTGAGCTGGGTAGAGCTGCAGCTTCACATGGACAGTGCTGCTTCCACTCTCGCCTTTCATGAAAGGGATCTAGAGTCCTTGCACGATGACAGTTGTCAACTTGCAGCCAAGTTAGAGGGTTTAGAGAATTGCTCTCTGTGTTCTAATTTCTGCTTTCATGGCATTCCTGAGCACGTTGTGGATCTACAGACAACCATCAAAGCCATGCTACAGTGGAACGCCTTGAGCTTGAACGAATCCACCACGCACTAACTTGGAGATCCCCTGATGATCCTCCCAGAGACTTAATAGTTTCTATTCTACAGCATGAAAGAAGCGGTTCTCCAAGCTTCTCGCAATGCTCCAACGCTTATTTTTCAGGGCTATAAATATCATGTTTTTGCTGATTTGGCCCCTACTATGATCGCCAAAAGAAGAGAATCGAAACAAATCCTAGAGATCCTCCAAAACCATCACATCTCATATCACTGGGGGTTTCCTTGCTGCCAGCTCTTCAACTACAAAGGCTGCCAATATCGGGGATCTACTCTTTCTGAACTCTGTTCTATCTTGACCGATCTCCATCTAATGCCTCAGAAGGATTCTCCCCTGGCTTTTACTTCATCTAAAAGAAGATGAATCTACAACACTCTCCTTTTACTTTACATCATGCTATCGGTAAAAAGCAATTCTCTGCTCTTCCTGCGATGGTCCCTGATTCTGCGGACTGATGGGATTCACCTTAACCCAATTTTTCTGTTGCTATTTTCTATTTTATTCATATATACATAGATTGCATATGTCAATTATCTGCTTTTATTTCTATTTATTTGTTCTCTGCTCCAGATTTTCATCCTTGTATGCTAGAGCTTGCACCCCTGCCTACTGCGGCTCTTTAAATTGTTTTTACAGGCACTCATTTACCCAGTCCGTGCTTGACCTACTGGATCGTTCATTGAGCCCTGCTAATTGAACCTAACTGACAATTTGACACCCTGTGTAGTATGTTTTTTTGCCTGGATGCTTTGTATAGTCATTCTTAGCATGAGCCACCTCTGTGTCAAGTTAAATACCATTGCTCCCTACCGTTGATTTTCATAGTGGACTAGTTTTTCTTTCCACTATAAAAATCCATTGTGAATGGGAACCAGTAATGTCTTTTTTGAGCCACTTTGCCCTTCTTGGTTCTCTGTTAGTCCCTATTTTGTATTGTTCTCTCTCTCTCTCCCTCTCCCTCCCTCCCTGTATTTTCACTACCAATATCCCCCAAAAAATTTTCTTGCTAGTGATTCATGGAAGAAACGTGGTGCATTAATTGGTTTTCTTTACTCTACACAATTTGTATGTAGCAAAGAGACTGCAGACCCAGCTGAGAAGTACCTAATTCTTCTCTCAGACCACGATGTGACTATTGTTACCTATTATGCATCCAACTCTAAACCCCTCCCGTTCTTTTGCCACCTTCTTTTGACTGATGCTCATCACCAAATGGGCACATTAATTACCTGTGGAGACTCCAATCTTACACTATCCCCCATTCTTGATAAATGTACCATTCTGACTTCCCCTACCTCCTCCCCTAACTCTTTTTTTCCCCCCAGAATTGATCGCATTTTCACTACCCATGCTTGCTACCTATACAGCCTTTCCCTTGGTCCGACCATTGGGTGGTTACGATGTCTTTGGCTTCCCTTTTAGCGGTCCCCACAGACCCTTCCTGGTCTTTGAATGACTACCTTCTATCTGAAGAATCTCAACAGAATGTTCTTCAAGCCATCTTATCTTGCTATCATTCACACCCCTGAAGTATCTCCTATCACGCTGTGGGAGGGTGTATAAGGCTGTTATCTGGGGTGAGTGCATTAAACTGGCCTCCTCCTCTCTTAAAGAGAGGTTGTAGAAATAGAAGCTTCTTGAACTCAAATTTACTGAAGCTGCCTCCCTATTTCAGCACCAACACTCCCCTGCTAACAAACTTCGCCTAGACAATGCCAAACGCTATCTCAACTTACTTTTGACTCATCTAGCTGATAAAAAACATATGTGCACTCAAAGCTGCTCTTATATGAAAGCAAATAAACAAGATACCATGCTCGCCTCACTGTTGACGCGCATCATAAACCATACCGACTTCGCATAGACCAAAATACCATTACTACCAAGTCCTCTCTCATTGCACAAGAATTTCAAAAACACTTAACACAATTATACATTTCTTACCAAGGTTTCTCATCATCACTTGCAGATCGCATGTTTTCATCAGTTCACCTCCCCCAGGTTCAGGACGGCCTTAAATAATTACTGGATTCCCCTATTACAGACAGAGATCCTTGCAGCCATTAAATCATTAAAGCCTCCTAAGTCGGTGGGCCCGAATGGCTTTCCCCATTATATTATAAAAAAAATGTCTAATGCCACCACTAACTGTCCTTTAATTCTCTCAGATCCAGTGTCTCTTTTGGCCATGAATCCCTTTCTGCAACAATTTATATGCTCTAACTATAGGCCCATTTCCCTTTTGAACATTAACATCAAATTATTAGCTAAGGTCTTCACGAACAGACTCAACTCAGGTATTGGCCAGTTTATACATAAGGACCAAGTCGGTTTTATTCCATTTTGTCAAGCTACTGATACCATCCGCAGGGTTACTATTCTAATGGGTATGGCTAGAAAACGCAAAATCCCTTTAATGCTATTCTCTTTAGACATCAAAAAAGCATTTGACACATTTTCCTGGCCTTATTTATTTAATTTTATATGTCACTTTTCTGCAACAAATTTTTGCTCGTAATTATCATTTAGCTCATCAGAAATTAAAGAAAATTTAGAATTCATCTGAATCCGATTGCCAAAACAAATTGACTTTCAGACCCAAATCCCAGAGAAATGAAATAATAAAACATCCGAAATGTAAGCCTGCAAAAAATTTGTTTAGTTTCAAGTCTACTTAATATAATGAGAGAGGACCAACAGGCAAACCACATATACATTTTTGGTAATTAACATTGCCTGCACATTGAAAATAAAATGTACTTTTTAAATAATTTAGAATATATAAAGCCAAAACCATTTTAGTTTAGCTTTGGATTATGTGTTGAAATGTTAGAACATGGTCAGGTCAAATTTCCTTCATGAGGCACAGATGGAAAGTAAAAAAGGGGTTACAACTATAGATATACATTAAATCACAAAATGCTATAAAACAGTTAATATACAACTATATAACTTTGCATAAATCTGCTTTGTTTTTATAGGAATTGGACAGTCTTGCGGTGCACCACCAGTAGTCCAAAATGGAGATGTCCCAGACCTAAGAAAACTGAGCTATCCATCAGGTTCTTCTGTAAAATATAAGTGTGCAAATTATTATAAAATGGAAGGCAAAGAAACCATTACATGTAGAGATGGAGAATGGGAAAAAGAGCCAATCTGTAGAGGTATGTTCACTGCTATGATTTCTGTGTATAACTATATAGAGATTTTTTCTCACCACATATTTGGCAAATTTGGTTTTAAACAGGGACAGGTGTGTGTGTGTATATATGTGTGTGTATCTACTGTATATATATATATATATATA